TCCAAGTCATCTGAGTAAGCTGAAACCTCACACCTTTGGGTTAGCAGGCAAACACATCAACCTTTCGCATTATGGTGATGGTCTCAAACTCAAGATAGATACTAAAAGTCATTTGGCTGTATGCCTTAAACAGATGAGTGCTATAATGTAGTGGGGATTAAGTTGTGTCCCTAAATCCAAGTCCTTACTCAGAATACCTATGACTGCGACTTTATTTGGAAATTGGGTCTTTGCAGTTTCAAGTTAAGTAAGGTAATCAAGTTAGGATGAAGAGATCCACTGAGAATTTTAAAGATATGAGCCAGAACCAACAAGTTTTGGTTATGTTTTTGTGTTTTGTTGTTTTTTAATCAGATGGTCAATTGAACACGATTGTTATTACAAGCAAATAAAACTAAACATACTGCCACTGTTGAATCAACTGCAAACCATAGCAACCCTACAGAACAAAGTATACTGCCCTGTGAATTTCTGTGGCTATAAATTCTTACAGAAGCAGAAAGTCTCCTGTGGTAAATTACACAATCTGATGTCAATTTGAGGATTAAGAGTGAAGGGGTAGAAGTTAGCCTGTCAATCAGGTTGCAGCTTGATGACTGCATTTGGAGGCATTAAGAAGATAAATAGTTCACGGGAGGTGGGACACATGCTCACTCCGAGAACACTGCAGCTGACAAGACACATGGAAGGAACTACACTAATGCCCTATCTGGAGGAGTCACGTGAAGACCCCTGCCAGTGCTGAAATGCTTACAACGCCACTGGATCCACAAGACTTCCCACCCACTGGCCTGTGATCTTCATGGATTCAGCATCACTGCATTTGTTTCGTGAGTCTGAAAGGATTTTATAGATTGGTACCAGACATATGGGCTAATATCAGACTTATGGACTTGATTTGGACTGGGTTGGGATGTTTTCTCAATATTCAATTGCTCTTGTATATAAACCTCTTTCTTATACACGAATGCCTATGAATTTGTTTCTCTAGTCTACCCAGACTAACACCACTTCTCTTTCTCCCTGTGGTTTCAAACTGCTTACCTTGCAGTTAGCAGCCCAGTTTATAACCCCGTATGCCACCAAGGCACCTTCATGGCATCATCAAGATCAAATTAGTTATCTTGCTGTAATATATGTAAGAGAATTTGACAGAAACCTGCAAGTTTCTCTCAGATGTATCATTAAGACAACTCCATGAATGTGACTTGTGAGAAATCCTTACAATAGTAGAGCATCATTTAATCTACTATGGCAGAAAGGCCTGGCGATCTGCTTCTAATAAGAATAAAGCCCAAAAAACCTAGCAAACCCTGTAGAGGACTTCGATGTAACACGTGGTTACCATGAGTCAGGCACCTGTTAAAAAGAAATTACTCAGTCCTTACTCAAAATCTAAAACCCAACTTAACAGTTGAAGACGGCTGCCCAGGCAGATCAGTACAGAAACCTGTACAAGAATGGAGAAAACCAAAATGGGAGGAAAACTTGGAACCCTGAATCTCAGAAGAAAAAGTAAATAGGTAAATGAGCTGAATCTCTCTCACTGTCGTTGAATCAATTCTATCTTATAATGACACTACAGGACAGGGTAAAACTGCCTTTGGGAGTTTTGAGTCTGTAACTCTTTTGAGAGTAGAAAGTCTTGTCTTCCTCCTGCAGAGTGGCTGGGGGTTTCAAACTGCTGGCTTTGTGGTTAGCAGCCCAATGAGAAAACCTCATTAAATTAAAAAAGCTAAATCAGGTAAATAAAACAGCATAGAAAAAAATAAAAGAAATCATGCAAACAAAAAGGACCCAGTACAGAAATTTATGAGGAAAAATCTAACACCACACATACAAAAAATTCAAATCTACAGCAAAATGACAGCAATAAATTCACACATAGCAATAACCACACTAAATGTCAATGAGTTAAATACACCAGTTAAGAGGCAGATAGTAGCAGACTGAAAAGAAAACAAGACCCACCAGTACATTGCTTACAAGACACATACCTTAGATTCAAAGAAACAGACTAAATAAATACTATACTAGAAGGAGATCTTAGTACACTACTCTCAAAAAAGACTGAAAATCAGGAAAGAAACTCAAAGACAGTGGAACTAAACACAATCAACTTAACCTCTGAGGCAAATATAGACGGCTCCATCCAACAGCAGTACAATATACATTTTTTCCCAGTGCACATGGCACTCTCCAGAACAGACCATACATGAGGACGCAAAGCAAGCCTTAATCAATTCAAAAACATCAAGATCTTACAAACCATTTTCTCAGACCACATTGTTATAAAATAAAATTCATTAATAGGAAAAGTTGAGGGGAAAAAATCAAATAATGGAAAGTGAGAAACACTTGCTTAAAAAACACTGTTATTGAAGTAATTAAAATTTAAGTTCTTGAAACAAATGACAACAAAATACAGCATACCAAACCTTTGAAACATACCAAAAGCATAGCCAGGGCACAATTTGTAGCAATGAATACACATCGATAAAGGAGAATCTGCATGGCCGGCCCCAATCCCAGCTACACTGACCACCTCCCCAAAAGAATGCACTATAGAGGACAACACTGAAGATATAGCCCAGGGAGGGTGGTGGGTCTGCCAGATCACACTGCAACAAACTAAGGAGAGAGAGAGAGAGAACCACATCCTGGCCCACCAAGACTTGAGGACAACATTCCTGCTTGGAGCAGCCAATGCACAGAGGACGGTAGAGCCAGCCCCACCACGAGCTGAGACACAATGTCCGCACAATGATCAACAGTGCTATGGGGGACAGCATAGGAGACACAGTGCAGGAATTGTGCCTGGTCTCTCTCGCTCACACACACACACACACACACACACACACACACACACACACTAAGGGGGGTGAGGGGGGTGAGGGGGGTGCAGCATGCAAAGCACGAAGGGAGCACAACAGAGCAGCAAGAGGAGCAAACCAATGAAGTTCCCGAGTACCCCGGAAACAGACTTCTGACACAGGATAGGGCTTGGCACTTCATCAGACCCAATCAGAAAACATTCAAAAGGGTCAGCAGACATGCCTGGAACTATTTATATGGCCTTTTGTTTGTTTTTCTTCTCTTTTTTCTACAGGACTGATTGTTCAGTGGGGACATGGGAGAGGAGGCGAGGGAAAGGGAGGAGGGAGCCAACAAACTCAAGGACAAGGGAACAACAAGAGAACTAAAATCGATGAGGAGGACATAGAATGCCTGGTGAGGTTTGATCAAGTGCAACGTAGTCGAGAGGAATTACAGAGAGCCGAATGAAGATCGAACATGATAGTGGGACAGGAGGAAAGTAAAAGGAAATAGAGGAAAGAATTAAGAGGCAAAAATATAAGTGTGTTAGTCTGGGTTGACTAGAGAAACAAATTTATGGACAGTCATTTGAGTATAAGAAAGAGTTTTACATACAAGAGCAACTGAATATTGAGAAAACATCCCAGCCCAGTTCAGATCAAATCCATAAGTCCGATATTAGCCCATATATCTAATACCAATCTATAAAGTTCTCTTCACACTCACGAAACACATGCAATGATGCAGAATGAAGGAAGATCACAGGCCAGTGGATGGAAAGTCTTGTGGTTCTATTGGTAGTGTAAGCATCTCAGCGCTGTCAGGGGTCTCCACATGGCTCCACTAGAGCTCCAGGGCTCTAGTATAGCTTCATGTATCTTGGCAACAGGAATGTCTCACAGGGTGAGTGAGTGTGCCGCCTACAGCGAGCTACTTATCTCTTTAATGCCTCCAAATGAGGTCATCAAGCTGCAACCTGACTGACAGGCTAAACTTCACCCCTTCACTCTAAGTCTCAAGTTGACAACAGATTATGTAACTACCACAACAGGCACGTATATATGTAACTATATCAATATATAATGATAGGGACATAGGTCCATGCACATATATTAATACGTTTAGTATTAAAGTAGCAGACAGACATTGGACCTCTACTCAAGCCCTTCCTCATTGCAAGAACTCTTTGTTCTAATAACCTGGCATTCTGTGATCCTCACCTTTCCTACATGATCACTGAAGACAAAAATGGGTACATATGCAAATGTGGTGAAGAAAGCTGGTGGTGCCCGGCTATTACAGGTTATACGATCTGGGATCTTAAAGGCTTGAAGTTAAACAAGCAGCCATCTAGCAGACAAGCAACAAAGCCCACACACTAGCCTGTGTGATCACAAGGTGTCGAAGGGATTAGGTATCAGGCATCAGAAGAGCCAAAACAAATATAATCATATTTAGAGATCTTAAAGTGAAGATTAAAAGGCTCATCTAGATAAATATGAAAATGATCAAACTGATGCAAAAAATTAATCTATAAATTGGCTTTTCCCTCTCTAAACAGGACAGAGAACAGTGGCAGAAAAATTAAAAAGCTCACAAAGAAGAGAAAAGCCAGTCAGGGTGCATTATAGCACCTACAAAACATATAACTTTCCTCTAGTTCTTTAATGCTTCTTCTCTCCCCTTCCCCTGCCCTGCTATCATGACCCCAATTCTACCTTAAAAATCCAGCTAGACCAAAGTATGTGCATGGGTACAGATAAAAAATCCTAATACAGGAATCCAGGACAGATAAATCCCTCAGGGCCAATAATGAGAGTAGCAATAGCTGAGGGGAAGGGGATGGTCGGGGAGATAAGGGAAGCCAATCACAATGCTCGACATATAACCCCCTCCCCAGGGGGACGAACAACAGAAAAGTGGATGAAGGGAGAGAGCGGTTGGTATAAGACATGGAGAAAAAATAATTTATAAATTATCAAGGATTCACGAGGGAGGTGAAGGGAGAATGAGCTGACGGCAAGGGCTCAAGCAGAAAGCAAATGTTTTGAGAATGATGGCAACATATGTACAAATGTGCTTGACACAATGGATGGATGGACAGATGGATGAATGGATGGATTGATTGTGATAAGAGATGTAAGAGCCCCCCCACGAAAAAAATTAAATAAAAGCAAACTTACCAAACGAAAGTTATCTCAAGAACTTTTTATACTGCAAGGTTTCACAAGGAAATCTGCAAAAGAGAAACCAGTAGTTTCACAATGACAAATATCCCTTTAAGAATCAAATTAAGCCAATTACAATTCTAACAAGATTTTTCTCTGTAAGCTAGAATATCATTACTTCCTAAGATTATCGATTTATGAAATGTTACCATGTGATCACTGTGTTAAGTGTCACTGAATTGATTTCAACAGTGACCCTACACATCACAGAATAAAATAAATTTCACAATGTTTGTACCAGTTAGGTCTTAGCATATCTTCAGAAACTGAGTAACTTTACAGAATGATCCTTTCCAAGAGCCATCAAATGTTCCTATTTAAAAGGCTTTTGCAATCAATCATTTCTGATAACACAGGAAAACAGTTGCCACTACAGGAATAAGTACTTTCAAAAACTAGATCACAGCCACTCTGTGCTTGACCTTTGTAATACAGGATGGTCTGTTTGAATTAGACTAACTACAAGGTCAGCAGTTCAAAACCACAAGCTGCTCTGAGGGGAAAAAACGAGGCTTTCTACTCCCTTAGCGTCTTGTAAACCCAGAAGGGCACCTCTACCCTATTCAAAGGGTTTCTATGAGTCAGCATTGCTCAAAGGTAGTGAGAGTTTGGTGGGGGGCTTGCTACACACTGGATTCTACTATGGGGGTGCAAAACAACCAAGCACCTTGTGGGGTTAGTTTTCTTGGATCAAAGGTTTAAGGTCAAGAGTTTGTGAATCTGCTGAAGCAACTGGGCTAACATTGTTTCTTAAGCGTGTCCGTTTTTATTCTGCCTCCTGGCCCCAGTTGTGAGTAAGTGCCCTACTGAGGTCTAAAACACTATCCGAAAAACAGCACAGGTTTCTGGAGCAGCAGAAGACCCAAGAATTGAAGAAAATGCAGACTCCAGAAGTCTTGCAAGCTTGGCTCATTGATCTTGTGACTGTCTTAGTAAGGTCCCTATTTCTGGTTCAATAATGTTTCACCATATAATGCTTTAATACTTACGTATTTTTGACATAATCATTAACCAAAAATATTTTCTTCAAAATATTTGAAGACAAAATTGTGTATGTACATATATCTTTAAATTTTTAATTGGAGTACTAATTCATTTATTGGGACACTGCTATTTTAATAAACAACTTTAAAGTTGGACAATCTGGAAAAACATTAAAGCAAAATCTGCTAGTGTTCTGCGCAGTTTTACCAAAATCAAATGGAAAAACTGCAGGATTTAGACCAGGTCTTCCAAAATTGCAGGAGATTAGAGGGTAAAGGAGCTTAATACAGCACTTGTATGTCTGGGATACATTTTAACTTCAACAATGTTTCAACAGAGTGGCAGTTTGCTCTTAACTGCAGAGAAATTCAAAGCACAAGACTTTTAAGAAGTAAATTTAAAGGGAACTTCTATCTCACTAATGTGAAAACAAAATATTTTCCTTCCATTTGCCCTCAATCTAAAGAAATAGAAAAAGGTGGGGGGGGGAATAGAAAAAGGTGAGGGCAGAAGCAATAAGGAATTCAGATGTTTTTGGTTTATTTTGTTTAATTAAAAGATCATTCTATTGTGGCCTCTTACAGCTTTTATAAGTCCAGACATCAATTGTATCAAGCATATTTGCACATTTTTTAATCATTTTATAGGGTTTTGTACAGCTCTTATCACAATCCATACATGCATCCATTGTGTCAAGCACATCTGTACATTTGTTGCGAGATGTTCATTTTTTTAAGTGGATCCTTCATTGGGTAGCATTTTCCACTTCTAATTGTTTCCTCGGGTAGAGTGGTTACTTGTTGGGCTGCAAATCACAAGATCAGCAGTTTGGAACCACCAGCTAGCTGCTCTGAAGGAGAAAGATGAGGCTTTCTACTCCTGTAAAGTAAATCTCAGAAACTAATGGGGCAGTTCTACCCTGTCCTATAGGGTCGCCATGAATCGGAATCAACTTGATGGTAGTTAAGAGTGAGAAATGTTTCCTCGATCACGTCTATTCGCTTTCATACTCTGATGTTATAACCTTCTCAAACTAAGGTTATATGTACTGGTCTATTGGATTAGATGGTGGTGGGCGATTTTTAACCACCAACATTAACCGAAACCAAGTTTTCATTAAGGACCCCTAATAGTGTAGTGGTTACACTTTGGGCTGCAATCCACCTGCTCAGCAGTTTGGAACCACCAGCAGTTCCGCAAGGCTGGGCTCTCCACTCCCATAAAACAGTTAGTCTTGGAAACCCACAGGGGGTCGCTATTGAGTCAGCACTGACTTGATGTCATCCAGTATGTTTTCATTAACCGAGTAAAGCTGCTCAGTACAGTTCTGCTCAACACAAAGGATTCTAAGCCTCAGGTTTTCTAAGTCCTTTGCTGCTAAAGCCAACTACAACTACAAATAGTTCAAAAGTGTGGCAGTATTCATCTAACATAAGGTTACTGTAATGAAGGTGTATCCCTTGGACACATATTTAAGGGATAAACACTATTCTAGGCACTGTAGACACAGAAATGAACAAAACAAGGTTTCTAGCAGCCACCTAAGGTCACTTGTGCTACTCTCAGAGGGCTGAATGCTAACAGTGTAACTTTTTTCCTAGTGAATTCATAAATGTTAAACTGAATCTGTCGTGACTCGATCTATAAGATTAAAATTTTAATTTAAAAAAAACAAAAGGAAATGGGAGGAGGAAGAGGGTCAGGAGGCAGTAGTTACTTGTCTACCTCTTTGGAAACACCAGGTCTGGGAGCTCTCAGGGTTCTTGAGTAACTTCATGACCAGTGGGGGTTGCATCACTCCACCAGCTGTGGAACATAGATAAGTAGCTAACATGTTGTTTCCTAAGCAAAAAAAAAAAAAGAAAAAAACCCCAGCCATCCTCTTGGGGGGGTGGGGGGGAGATGAGGGGGCACAGTTCTAGTAAACTGCTAAAATAAACCCTTTTCCTTGAACTCATAATACATAATCAGCCTTTATTGGTGATATACAAGGAAGCATCTAAGAGTTCGTGAAAATGGGATCTTTTAACATCTCTTGAACTAACATCTATAATAATGTTCACTCTAACAAGTTTTAAAAGCTGTTTGAACTGATAATAACCAAAAGACTACTCTTGTGATCTTGTGCCTACAATTAGTGGTACACTGTACGGATCAAATGAGTGTGCGCTTGTATGCGTGCACTCTCATTCCCTGGGCTCTGATTCTAAAGATCAGCAGTTTGAAACCAGCCGCTTCTCAGAAGAAAAATGAGGCTTTCAACAGGGGCAGTTCTACTCTCTCCTATGTGGTCATTATGAGTTGGTACTGACTCAATGGCAATGGAGGATTTGCACTTCTATGTGCGAGAGGCTGAAGCTGAACATTCCTTTCTGTAGACTAGTCAGTGCCAACTCAGCAATTCTACAACAGTGCTGGATCTGGCACCATTCTCCCAATGAGAACGCTTGAGCCTCCTGCTGCAGTCATTTTACCAAGCAGAGGTCCTTTTCCAGTGAGTAGCCTCTTCTGATGATATATCCAAAGTACTCAAGTTTCCTCATCCTTGCTTCTAAGACAGATTTGTTTGTTCTTTTAGAAGTCCACGGTACTTTCAGTGTTCTTCAACACCACAGTTCAAATGCATCAAGTCTTCAGAAGAAGGCACAACTACGTTCTCAGAAAAGAATAGCTGTGACCAAACTAACTTCAGCAAACTAGTTTGGTACTTTTTAATATCGCTTTATTTTATAAGCTTTTTCTTTTAAAACTGATTCTTAAACTAACAGGGATACAAGAGATAAGGGAGCATAAATTATTTATGTCTACCTACCCACAGAGATTAAAACCAATGATCATATCCAATCTGCTAAAAGTGAAATTAAATAACTTAAGGTCAGAATAAATATTTCATTTTGATTTGTTCTTTAGAGTCTATGTAAAACACATTCATTTCCCACTATTAGCTCAGAGTAGCAAATCATTAATATGAATGTAAGGAGTATCTTTTTCTATTTTAAGGTTATTTTTTTGAATGCCTTATGTGAAAGACCAAAAGGTAGGTATCATTTTATATTGAAATTAAGAACATGAAATATAATTCTACAAGGCAGCATACTGAAATACTTAAGTCTCTTAAGAAAAGATGACAGGAAATCCAGTCTTTCAATCACTAGAAATTAACTTAATTAAAAGCGCAAAAAAAAAAAAAAAAGCCAAGCAGGATCATCCTAAGTGCCAGAGGTAATTCAGTATTTATAACTGCTATGGAAAGATCAGGAAGACTAGGTTCAGCATTGGAAAAAGGGTTCCTGAGTTTTGTTCCTGGGAGAGATCCAAGGGCTGCCTTAGGAAAATTAGCAGAAGGCAAATAGCTCCACTCGCATTAATATCCTGTTACTGCTTCCAATTCTACCTCTGGTGAAGAAGCAGAAACCTCCCACATGGTATAAATAAAAATTCCTATGAAAGTTTGGATGTTATCTCTAGAAATTCATTATTTTGTGAAAACTTGAGTTTCCTAATTACTGCTGCCTCCTATCATTCAATATCGTAAATGTTAGTTTGCAGGTTTGTTCCTCCCGCCTCCTACTGTCCAAAACAACAAAATTTTATTTTCTCGGACTCCCCACCCCCTGCCAAAAAAAATGGCCAATCCCTGTAAGTAGGAATTTAATAGGTACTTTATACGTTTTAAGAAAAGGGATTAATGAGATATATAACAAAACCCAAAACTGATTTTTTTAAAGACAAGAATTAAGCAGATTATTTTGCCAAAAACATGTAATACTTTGAAATCTGCCCAAACTCCATTATTTTACCCCTACCCCAATTGACAACCCAAGTGATTTCTTTTCTAGATAGACAACTTGAATTAAAGGTTAGCTTGCCCTAGAGATTAATGAGCATTTTCATTTTTAAATGACCATGGTTTTCCTTATTTTGTTTAGGTACTTGATATAAGAATTTTTAAAATATTGGAAGCTAAAGTACACTTTATTAAAAGCCAATATTTATTCAATAAAAGTTATCCTAAACCTAGCTAAACTGCTTCTTGCTTTATCAGTATAATATTATATTAGGCATGTTAATGTTCCTCTATTCTCATCTGTCCACAATCAGACTTCAAAGTCTTGCTCTCCTTTACTCCATTTTATAAATAGACAAGGTTCAGAAAAGCTGTTGAAAGTGCATACCATTTATTTAAGTATACAATTTAACAGAGGTGAAAGTAAACAGATCGTAATGACAGTAGTTAAATTTTCTAATTAAAAATTGTCCAGTTCCGCTAACCGAAAGTACATTGGGGAAGACAGAAGAAATTCAAATAACAAAGGCTATGTGAAATGAAAAGAGCTCATTCGTCTAATTGCCTGGTTAAAATTTATCTTCTGGCAACTAAATAGAAGACTACCCATATTTTCAAAAGCAAGCCAATAAAACCAAAATAACCTCCAATAACCACATAATTGAGCTCTGTTTAAATGAAGAGCTCATATATCTGCATAAATTAAGAGCAGTCCTAATTATTAAATAACCAAAAGAGTAGCCGTAAGTCTTCAGCAGAACACAATCTAAAAATTCTTCCAAGACCATACAGTTTAAGAGACCTCAAGAAGAGCCCCATCCTTTTAAGCGTTAAAGGAGCCTCTCTGGTGGCATAATGGATTCCTCATTGGGCTACTAAAGGTGAGTAAGGGACAGCACTTCAAACCCTTCAGCCTCTTCTAAGGAGAAAAGATGTGGCCTTCTGCTCTCAAAGAGAAAAGTGGGTGAGGGGAGACATCGGACAGTGTAAGGTATGACAAAACTTATAAGCTATCAAGGGTTTAAGAGGGAGGGCGAAACAAGGAAGGAGGGGGGAAATGAGAAGCTGATGCCAAGGGCTTAAGTGAAGAGCAAATGTTTTGAGGATGAGGGCAACGAATGTGAAAATGTGCTTTACACAACTGATGTATGTATGGATTGTAGTAAGAGTTGTATGACCCTCCTCCCAATAAAAAAATTTTTTTAAAGATATACAGCTTTGTAAACCCACTGGATCGCTATCCTATAGGCCGATCTCCTATAGGGGTGCTGTGAGTGAAAATATACTGGATAGCTGTAAGATTTATCTCATGTAAACAGATGGATGCATGTGTCTGCCATTCAAAATATACAAGGCTAAGAAATTTCTCACCTAAAGCCAAACTGTGGAATTCATCAACCTTCTTTACCTAGGGTATTAGAGTATAAATTCTGAGCAACCCAGTTTGCAAAAGGCTATGGATGGCAGTTAAAGCAAAATGTCTTGAGAGGGTCAGCACACAGATTAAGCCTCTGCTGAATTCTTTCCATCATTAAACAAATACAGTATGTGGACAATCAAGCCAGCCTAGAGAGGGGCAAGTCTCTCTTAAGGGCTTGCCAAGGGTGTTTTCTTTGATGGAAGCAGTAAAGGGGTCCCATAGTTCTGAGTCATCATGCCCTATCAGTCTCACCCTGACTTCCTTGGTCGGAGACCCTTCTGGACCAATCTTGTAAGCAAGCCCTTCTAATAATATAGGTGTCCCAATCATGGTCTCATTCCTGCTTTAATGTAGTCCCACCTGTAACTTATGTATTGATCGGCCACCAGTCATGCTTTGGTGAGTTTTCTTTGCCTTTCCATGCCCTTTTTTAGAATGTCTTTGCATATCAACAAACCTTTGGCTACCATTTTAACCTCAGGCTAATGTGCCTGTATATTTGTGTTCTCTTTGTCTCTTGAAAGTCTTAATAAATGTTCCCCTTAAATTATAATTGAGATGGGGTCTCTTTTGTACTCAAACACTAGGAAAAGTACAAAAGTAGTAAACTTAATCAGGGCTATCAAGGAATAAGTTATTAAGTGAAATTAATTTCTCCCCATAAGCTTTTAAATTAACTGCACTTAAACCAAATCACACCAACTGTGGATTCACAGTGAAGACAAAATTCAAACATTCCAGTAAAAAAATTAAGCTGTCAGTGGTTAAAAAAAAAAGCGGTCATATTTTATGAACCCATGACTCAAAAATGTTTCAAGATTTTTTTTTTCAAACAGCATACTTAGTTACTTATATTCATAACAAACATCAAAATGTTGGCAAAATATTCTCTTCAAGATGAAAAACTTCCCTAGTATTTTTGCACACCTACTATAAACTTACAATACTCCACAATGTATATCAGAGTAAGTACACTGGTACAAATGGGAACAGGAAAAACAGGGAATCCAGGACAGATGAACCCCTCAGGACCAGTGGTGAGAGTGGCCATACTGGGAGGGTGGAAGAAAGGTGAGGGAGAAAGGGGGAATAGATTACAAGGATCTACATATAACCTCCTCCCTGTGGGACAGACAGCGGAGAAGTGGGTGAAGGGAGATGTCGGATGGTGTAAGATATGACAAAATAATAATTTATACATTATCAAGGGTTCATGGGGGGGGAGAAGGAAGAGGGAAGGGGAAAATGAGGTGCTGATACCAAGGGCTCAAGCAGAAAGCAAATGTTTTGAGAATGATGAGGGAAACAAATGTACAGAAGTGCTTGACACAATGGATAGATGGATGGATTGTGGTAAGAGTCGTTATGAGCCCCCAATAAAAATGATTAAAACACAAAACAAAACAAAAAAACCATTAAGTTCTATTAAACATGTAAAAAAAAAGTCAAATGCACACATACTGAAGGTATCATGTTTCCAATTAGCATTAACATCACTACCATTAAGAATAGTTTTCCAAAGAAAACAGCCACTTTTAGGTTTCTTCTCAACATGAAAT